CAGGACCCACAGCTGAGCCCCCAACCCTCTGCTTGCTGAGATCCCTTCCTCCTGCTTTTCGGCTGGATGCCTTTCAGTCAGACCCATCCTACTGCAGTGATGGGAGCCTGAGGTCAAGGAATTGGAGAAGCATCTGTGCAAACCTGTGCTTGTCCCTGGCTCTGGGCAGCGTGTCCTTGCTTTGAATCACAACTGCTCCAGGCTCAGGCAGCACTCGGGTCCTCTGCCTCAGCTGCTCCTATGGCCCATCTCCAGTGAAAGAATGAGGAAAAAAAGAATAGAAAAAGCCATTTGCTACATCTGTGCTCTGCTCTGTCCCATGCACACCGAGTCACGGCATCAGATGCATGGCAGAAAGGATTTCAGCACGGCAAAGTAGGAACAGAGGGGAAAACCTATCTCTGAAGGGGAGCAGACTGACCTCATTCGTGGTGTGTTGGGATCTGGACACCCCTATGTCACCGGGTTGTCGAAGCAGTGACTATGAGGCCAAGTGAGGCCAAGTCCCTGCTCCTTGATGGCTTCCTCCCCCTCCCCTTTCCCTGCTGCAGAGCAGATCTGGGCCACACGGTGAGCTCCTTGCTTTTACGAATCAGTGCAACTCCGCTGGCTTCAACGGCGTGATGCTAATTCACAGCAACGTGCATCAAAGGAGTTGCTATTCCATGTCCGTGTCAGCTAAGAGAGATGCTGGGCAGAAATAGCACTGTCTGGGAGGAGCAGGAGCCCCCCCTTCCTGCACCTGACGGTTCCACAGCAGGTCCCAGCTCCCAGAACTCCTTCCATTTATGGAATCCTGATGGATGAAGGCAGTGTGGAAGCAGAGCTGGCTTGCAAAGGGGTCACTTTGCAGTGAGTAAGGAGTTGATTTATTTCTCTTCTTTGCCCCCCCAGCAGTGCTTGCTGGGAAGCATTTCTCCCTTCTCTCATCCTGGCCGATGCAGACGTGCGGTGGAGGACATGCATCACACGTGTCCCCTCAGTTCACCCAATCTGCACATCACCACGTGCTCGTGGTCAGCCTGGAGAGGAGGCCCTTTTGGGAAGGGCTGTGAAAAGCCATGTGAGATGGCTATGGAAGCAGCTGAGCTGCAGGAACCGGGGTCAGGAGAACAAAAAATCCCTCCTTGCCCCGGTACAGCCTTTTTAGGGCTGCCCATCCCTCGGCTCCTTCCTTTTCATCACCTCTGCCCTTTGGGTGCAGCAAACAACCCAAACTCCCAGTGCCACCAGCAGAACTCTCTGCAAGGACTCCTCAGTGCCCGGCTCCACTCGTGTCGAGCTCTGGGACACGCAGCCAGCAGTTCTCTGTGCACAGGCTGGGCTGTGCATTGCTTTCCGCTGCCACATCCCCGCAGGTGGCACTGCTGCACGCTGGGGTTCCTGTTCCCGAGCAGCCCAGCGCCGCTGCCGTTGGATTTTGCCCTGAGCATCACACCAGGGGAAGGACCTGCGGCAGCGCCCGGCTGCTGGCTCCTCTGCAGCCCTGGGGTGGCAGCAGGGATGTGCCCCCCGTGTCCCCAAAGCCCTGCCCTGCTGCTTCCAGTGCTTGCAGCCACAGAGCTGCTCGGCACCGCGTTCAGCGATTTCATACTCTCGACAAGAGTGTAAATGCATCCTGATGGACTGGAAAATTGGGAAGGCGCTGCTCATGTTATATTTTCTGTAGGCATCTATCTGAACTCCAGCAAGATGCGTTTATTGGCAGGCTCCAGTTGCGGCCATGTAGCTGTACGTTATGCTAATTAAAATATAGCCTGTGTTTTGTAACAGGGTTTCCTTGGAGCGTGTTTTACTGTTCGGTAATCGCTTTCAAACATCGGAAAAATAAAATCCCATCAAGCAAATAACTTCTGGATGGTTCCTGGAAGGTTATTCTTATTTTTCAGAGCCCCACTGGAACTGGCAGTACTCGTCACTGTGACAGAGGGTGTAAAACGTGCTGATCTGTAAGGCTGCCTGTAGACCAAAAGCCGTGTGGTGTCTGAGCATACAGAGAACATTTCAATTTTAAAAAGAAAGAAAGAAAATCTTTTTGTGGGATGAAGAAGTGACACAGAGCTCAGCTTGGGATCCCAACCAACCTGGCATTGGTACTTCCAGGGATGGGGCATCCATAGCCTTTCTGAGAAGCAGCAGCAGCTCCTCATGGCCCTAAACAGTGTGCAGGTATATGACCATGGGTGATACTGTAAAATCCACAGAATGCACATTTGACACAGCATCTCTATATAAGCAAGCTGGCAAAAATACAGGAGAAGCAGGGGGCTCAGACGTCAATTTGATTTTATTGCTACTGATCCCGACTGGACTTGTTCTTTCATTGAAGGAGCAGGGAGGAGAACAGAGTTCTGTCTTACGGCCGCTGATAGCTCCTGATCAGACAAACTCCATTCCTGTTATCTCCAGCACCAAATGGGCGCCGTTATCTCATTCCTTGGGATGGCACCACTCGGGGTGATGCTGAAGGCAGCATGCATGCTGTCCATTTGTTGCAGACCTCTCTCTGGCTCTGCTCGGTCTCTCTTCCTGCAGGACAAACTTGATTTTCTGGAAGGATTCTGACGCTGCGCTCTTCGCGTGGCCAGGTGAGTCACAACGAGCCAATAGAAGTCAGCAGGAGAAAACAAGGCAGAGCGCAAGCGAGGGTGCTGCTGTCGGCCATGCCCGGGGCTCGGCCAGTTCGGAGCCTGCGGAGGATTTGCCGGTCTCGGCACCACCCCTAGCGGCCGGCAGCCGGAACGAGGACCGGGCACAGAGCTCCGAGCCCAGAACGCGGAGCCCGATCCGAATGACGGCAGGCGAGGTTCCCGACGGGGCACTGACGTGCAAGCACGCAGTGTGCCCAGCACGGCGCTGGAACACAACTGGCGACGTCCCCAGCGTGACTGTGGAACACAGCCCGCGATGTTCCCGGCACAGCAACAGCACACAGCCCGCGATG